CTAGGCCCAAACGTACCCCTCATTACACACAACTAGGGGCAAGGCCTGGAATCCAAACTACAATAACAGAATTATTATCCTCCTTTACTTCACCTTATCAAATATACCTGAGGCATGGGCAAATTCTCTTCCACAGAGGTCGCATGTCACAGGAAGCCTCTTCTTCTTCTTCTTGGGGACGTCAGGCTCTCCACTTGCACCATGGGCCTCCAGCTGATGCTTCTCCAGTTCTTTCTTAGACTCCTTGGTCTCACTGCATTCATTACACTGCACTTCTTTGCTCTTGGCCACCCGGCAGCGCTTCATGTGCACCTTTAGGCGGCAGTAGAAATGAAAGCTTTTGTCGCAGGCTTTACAGACGAAGCTCTTCTTGGCAGAGTCTGGGGAGGCAGAAGTGTCTTTCTCTTGGTGTTCTGGCAAGGAACCAGTCTCTCCTTCCTTGTTTTGTTCCCCAGACTGGCAGGCTTCTTTGGCTGGCTCAGCTGCGTTTTCATCTTCTTTGCCATTGGCTTTAAGGTGAAATTCATTATTAAACTTCCACGTTTCCTTCTCTCCATTTTCCTTAGTAAGGAAACCTGCATAGGAGAGAAATCTCATGGCTCTGGGAATTGTTTCTACTTTGCTTTATAATTTTTCAAACATACTTCTTAGAGAGGTAGGGAGACTACTTGGAATCCTCAAAAAAAACTGTGAAGTAACATCACTGATACCTTTACTTTCCAATAAACACAAACAGCACATCTTATATTTATGCCCCATGACTTTTTCAGGTATTGAGAGTATATACAATGAATAAATAACTTAAGGTAACAATGAACTCTTATATGAACTGCTGCCTCTTTTCTTCCATAAAGAAACAACCTGGGGCCTGACAGGATCCCTCATCCCACCCTGCTTCTTACCAATGTATGCTAACTCCTGCATGACAGGCTGCAGGCCTGGAAACGATCTGTGGACACTGCACAGGAGGTGACATATTTCAATGGCTGAGACTGATTTTTCCATGGCTCTGCTCAGCACTGCTCTCAGAGAAGCTTCAGGGCTGGCTGTCTCAGAGGAAATGTTCAGAATCTAAATGAATACCGTGAGACAAAGGTGTGGGGTTAATAGTAGAAGATTTTCTCCATGGTTTGCACCTTTCAAAAAAAGAAGCTAATTCTAGGAAGTCATTGCTCCATCTATAAGCAGCTTCTACTTCTCGTGATAAAGGTAATGGAGAGCCCTGTTTTCCAAAGAACAGGAAAATTAACAAAACAAGAAAAGGAAGCACATAACAAGATAAATATGCAAATACAAAGAAAGTACAAGCAGGGAAGCAGTAAGCATTTTCTATAAGAAATATCTTCTCAAAAACCAGGAATCACCAAAGAACTTTTTTACATCTTAATATTAAAAGCTTGGAAAGCTATAGGATTTGATTGTTGGTGTTTCTGTCTTGAAGATCAGGATAATTTTTCATAATATATAATTGTCTCAATGTCTGGAAGTAATTCTGCATGATCAGTGGCTTCGTATTCTTAGACACTTAGAAGTACCCTTTTAAACATCATTTTCTTTCATAAAATAACTCAGCATTTTAAAGAAGGTTCAAATAGGGGCTTTAAAGAGGCTAAGAACATTATTTCAAAGCCATACTCTTTCAGAATTTTAGAGCTATCAGCAGACAGAGTCAGTACACTGAGAAAATAAAGAGAGCTAAACCATCCACAGATGGCCAAATGGAATTTTCATTTTGGAAGATATTTTATTTCTGCTCTTTTCAAGTCTATCTAAATAAACCTGATGTCCCTGGAGGCAGGCATGAGACTAATTAGTGACGCTAAAACTGATCAGCTGCAGAAGCCCCATCTCTGAAATATGTGGTGTACTGGAGAAAGTCTATCAGATGAATCTTCCCTCTGAAACCCCACAGACATGTGTGCCACCTTCTTCCCATCTGAGAGTTAGACAAAGGTGGGGCTGTCATGTGCACAGGCAGAGTTAGCCACCAGCCCATCTGCACATCTTCCACACCTGGCTGGATCCCAAGGGCACTTCAGGTGAATCTGTAGTTTAGTTTTATGTTTCTTTATTTTTCTTCCCCACTCAAGTTGCACGTGATCCTAGGCTGGACATCCATGAATTCCCCCCCAATCCCCACCTGGTTTTCCTGGGATGCT